ATGGTGGTGGTAATGATGATGGGGACAATGGTGGTGACAGTGGTGGTGATGATGGTAGTGGTGGTGGTGGTGATGGTGATGATGGTGGTGATGGTGGTGGTGTTGGTGATGGTGATGATCGTGATGGTGGTGATTGTGGTGGTGGTGATGGTGGTGATGGTGGTGGTGGTGACGGTGATGATGGTGGTGAGAGTGGTGGTGGTGGTCATGATGGTGGTGGTGGTGATGATGGGGACGGTGGTGGTGGTGGTGGTGATGATGGAGACGATAGTGGTGGTGGTGGTCATGGTGTTGGTGATGGTCATGGTGGTGATGGTGGTGTTGGTGGTGGTGGTGATGGTGATGATGGTGATGGTGGTGATTGTGGTGGTGGTGATGGTGATGATGGTAGTGATGGTGGTGGGGGTGATGGTGATGATGGTGGTGTGATGGTGATGATGATGATGGTGGTGATGGTGGTGGTGGTGATGGTGATGATGGTGGTGATGGTGGTGGTGGTGGTGATGGTGATAGTGATGATGATGGTGGTGGTGGTGGTGGTGATGGTGGTGATGGTGGTAGTGACGGTGGTAGTGATGGTGATGATGGTGGAGGTGGTGATTGTGATGATGGTGATAAAGAACAAGAAGGAGGAGGAGGAGAGGGGAAAAGGAGGAGACTAAGGAAGAGGAAGAGTAGACCAAGGAAGAAGAGACACCATCCAGCTGTCATTTTCTGAGCACTTCCTATGTGTGCCAGGGCAACACTAACTATTTTCCAGGCATTGACTTTTTAAATCCTAGAACCATAAGGAAGGAACCATTACTATCCTTACATTACAAATGAGGAAACTATTCAATCAGGTATTTTTTTTCTAAGGTTATTCAGTCAGTGACTGGAGGACTCATTATCTGAAGTCTGTCTGACTCCCAATTCCAAGTTGACACATTTCTCCAGCCACCGCTTCCTTGTATTTACATAAGTGGGAGCTGCCTGGAGTGAGGCCTCTGCGGAACCCTGTGTTTGCAGGAGCTAGGCACCCAGGCTCACCAGCAGTGCCTGTCCTACCAAGAATCAGAGGCCTCAGTCACCCCTTGGAGGGTACTACTGTGGGGCTGAACCCAGAAACCTCTCCTTTAACTTCAACTGCACAACACCAATAAGTGTTTTAATTTTTAGAGTCACTTACTATGCACCAGGCTCCCTAGACATCATTATTACCCCAACTTACAGAGGCAGAAGCAAAGAGTCAGTGAGGTTAGGTGACTTGCCCAAGGGCACAGAGCTGGAAATCAGAAAGTCAAACTCAGCTCTGGCCAGTTCCAGAGCTTAAGCATCCAATTACTCCACAGTTCTGTTTTCTGGAAGAAGCCAAGTGAGGGCTTCCAGTGCTAAAAGACAAAGGCCCTTGGTGCAGGGGAGGCCAGCACCCTGGGAGTTGGGAGCCAAGCCCAGGCACACCAGAACCCTCACCTAGAATAGAGCTCCAGCAGCTGGAAGAATTAGAAGAGGGATGTAGCCCACTCCTACCCCTCAAAAGCAGAACTTCTATTCCACTGCCAACAGGTGATCCTCTCACTATCTGTGAAAGCTTCCTCAGAGTGATTCCATGCCCACACACACACAGGACTGTGCAACACGGTCCACATAAAGCATGCAGATTTATGGTGGTCGGAAGCCTAGCATACCAACCACTGCCTAGCATGAGTTAGTAGCTTAATCATGCTCAGTTAGCTCCTCTTTAAAATGGAGTTAAAGTGCATACCCTGCAATGACACCAGGGTGTTAAAAGGATCATATGAGGCAATTTATGTTATATTATAAAGAGTGATTAATAGGAGTGTACCTGTGTCAATTCACAGTAGCACAAAATAAACAACAAAGGTATAAGATTTCTCTCACCACAAAGATAAACTATCTGACTATATCTTGTCCTGCTTGGTCCATAAAACTTACAGAGGAGAAATGAAATTCACTGGGCTTATCCTCTGAAGGAATTTTTCTACCTTATCTAACAGGATTTGGAAAGGGGGGAAGATGATGAGGACAGACAGGGAGAAGCAAACGGCCTCATCCAGGCACAGAGGTACAGAGTTGGGGGCATGCTGGGTGTGGGGGGAAAGCTGGGCAGTCCCCTGCTGGTAGGCTGAAAACAGAAACCCCGGGAAAAGGGAAAGACAGAGGGTGGGCTGGGCAGATTGGCAGCCTTGAAGGCTGCAGGAAGGCAGTGGGGAACATGAGCAAGATCTGGGAAAGAAGTTGTTGATCCTGATGACAGTAGTGATGATCGTGGTAGATGTCACAGGTTGACTCCACGAATGCTGAGCCCTCCCGAAGAGACCCGAGTCTCAACAAAATACACTTCTCCAGATTTGGGGCCCAGAGAGAGGTTTTCTGCATGGCAAATAGGGTCACATCCCTCCTCATTTGGGATCACTTTGTGACTCAATAAAAGTTAGGCTCCCCTGTGTGTCCCCCAGCGCTCCTCTCAACCTGGCTCCCCACTATGTCTCCTGCCTCACTCTTGCCACCCCCACTCCAAACCCATAAACTGCTAACCAGCTGGTCCCCCTGAGGCATGGTCCAGAAAATCTCCCAGCCCATGCCATGCTATATCCCCCGCCACTCCCTCAGACAGAGGCCTGGGAGAGAGAAGGAGACGTACCGAGGCTGGTCCTGATCCCCTTACACAGGATAAACCCTGTTCCTGTCACAATGGGGTTTGCAGTGAGGGTTCAGCCAGTGCTCCAGGAACTGCTCCTCGGCGCGATGCTCCAGGGCGAGCAGGTGGTGCATGTGTTCCTGTCAAAACAAACCACACTGAAGAACGCTTCATCCACAGTGACAGCCGAGGGGCCAGCATGCATGGCGTGGCTCTGGCCCCCTAGACAGGGCAGGATGGGAGGACAGGCAGGAAGGAGAAATCGACAGCCACATCCATGCCTCTCAGTAGGGAAGATCAGTCAGTATGACCCACCCGGTGAGCAAAATAAAGAAGTCTGACAATACTAAGTGCTGAGCAGGTGGACCTCCATGAAATCATGGAACAACCACTTCAGAAAACAACTGATTGCCTGTAATCGAGAAATTTCACTCCTACTTCAGTGGACCTCAAACTTTATCAGATACCACAGTCACCCAGAGAGCTTATTACAACACAGATTGCTGGGCCTATCCTATAGTTTCTGACTCAGTGGGTCTTGGGTGGGACTTGAGAAGTTGCATTTCTAACAAGTTCTTAGCTAATAGTTATATTGCTAATTGCTCTGAGAACAAGAGAAACTCTTATATCAGGAGAGGTGTATAAAAATGTTTATAGCAGCAATAAATTTGTCATAGCAAAACACTGGAAACATGCCAAATAGACTCTTACAGGAGAATGAATCAATAAATTATGGTAGGGTTATGCCATGGAATATTACACAGCAGAGAACATAAATTAATTATACTGTAGCTATATACAACAACATAGGTGGGTCTTAGAAATAGCATATTGAGTGAAAAGTCCAAGTAACTACATTTATAGCATGACACTATTTTTATAAAGTTCAAATATGTATAACTAAATCATGTAATATATTACTTATGGCTATATGCATTTCTGATAAAATCATCTTTTTTAAAAGACAAGGGATAAGCAGAAGAAAGCTAGGGTTGCTATGCTAATATCAAACAAAAAGACTTTAAAGTATAAAAAATGTTACTAGAAATAGAGAAGCATTTTGTAAAAATAGTCTGGCAGCTCCTTACAATATTAAACATAGAGTTACCATTTGTACTCCTGACTAGCAACTGTACTTGTAGGTATATACCCAAGAGAAACAAAAAATGAATGTCCACACAAAAACTTGTACACAGATGTTCACACCAGCATCATTTGTCACAGCCAAAAACCAGAAGCAACCCAAATGTCCACCAACAAATGAATGGATAAATAAAATGTGCTACTTCCATATAATGGAATATTATTTAGCAATTAAAATGAATGAAGCAGTGATCCCTGCTACAATATGGATGAACCTTGAGAACATTATGCTAAGTGACAGAAGCTAGTCACAAAGGACCACACGGTGTACGATTCCATTCTTATGAAAGGTGGCCAGTCCTACACATTAATCTGTCCACAACAGAAAGCAGCTCCTTGCCCTGACTAGTCCTGCCCCTTACTGTGGCCAGCATCTCCATCTACTCAGGCACCCACTCCAGAACACGAACTGTCATTGCATCCCTCACCCTCAAACTCAACATAGGACTGAGCATTAGAACGTTGAGGCTATCTCCTGAATAGTTCTCAGATGCCCTCCCTCATCTCTGCCACTTCCCTAGGTCAGGTCTTCACCATTGTCCACCAAGGCTGCCGCAGACTCCTGACCCCTCTGTCTGTCTCACCCATCTGTGTTGCATTCCTCCCACCCCATGCCTCCTCCCTCCTCTATCCCTGCTCCACTCTGACAGAGTGACCCAAAATGGTCAAAGGTGGCCCACCAGGGCCACCTTCCTCCTCAAAGACGTCACCAGTGCTGTCTGCCTGCAAGGAGTCAGCACCTGCCTCTACCCATGGGTTTTGTCTGTGGCTCTGGATAATGTACTTGCAAGCCAGCAGATGAGTGCAGCTTTGGGTAGGATTCCCCACCTTCCCCCACTCCTCACAACAGCAGGGAGTGACCCTGCCCTCCCACCTTGGTCTACAATTGTCATTGACAGCCTTTGTTAATCTCTATGCTTCTCAAGAACACAATTTCTCCCTGAAAAGGTTGCCTGAAGAGACTTTAATGAAGAGATCATTCACAGCCATGTGAGTAGGGTTAAGGGAACTATCAAAGAATATTCTAGCACCCAGGGACTAGCAATACGGGGAAGCCATGACCATGCCTAAGTTTGCAGGGCCAAGGGTGGAGAACCATTAGAGGAGCCAATAGGCCTGGGGCCAGGGGGGTGGGGCTGCTGTGGTCTTGGGGGCACAGCACAGCCTTTGCAAGGCAAGGAGGTAACAGGGAACAAACAGCCCATCCTCTTCCTCCTCTTCCCCTCAGTCTCCTGCAGGGCCCAATCAGAAGCCAGCCGGCCAGGGAACCAAGGGATTCAGTCTACAGGGGTCAGTCTCCTTGAGCACATAGTGGGGCACAGCAGGGTGGAGGATGGACTGGGGTCAGGGCAGAGAAAACCCGCGTCAATGCTAGGATGAGGAGTGGCAGGTGTGCTACCACCAGAGAAGGGAGCAGACAGCACAAATAACAGAGGGCCATGATAGGGCCTCTCTGCAACCTGCAGCTCATCAGTCTCTGAATACACCCATCCTTTGCATGAAATTTTTGTCTTTGCATCTCCTCTCTCTCTCAGTTTGCTCATGCTCTGCCCTTTATCAACAGGAATGTCACTTCCAGCCTTTGGGGCTGGCCTTCTCCTCCCAACGTGCCTTGGTCTTCCCCAAAGCCAGTTCAGGCTGTGAATTTTCTGTATATGGGTTACTCACGGCATTATGTGCTACAAGTGATGCATAAAACAGAAAAATGATAAATCAACAGGACCTCTCTTAAATAAAAGAATAAAATGTGATTCCTCTTGTCTTAGTTATAAGGTCTCCTCCTTCCCTCTCCATCTTCTGGTGCAATCTCTGGCCTACAAGAACTGCCTATCATACTGAAGGTGGTTCATCATATCTCTGCTTATGGCAACCACATCGCTAGTTAAGCAAGAAGCTTCAGCGCACTCCTCTTCCTTGCTCTCCCAGCATCCAAGCAGCCTAACTCCTGTGAATGCTCCTGGATCCCCTCTACCCACCCCAACTGCCTCTGCCCAGCTTAGGCCCCAGCCCAGGCCCCAGCCCTGGGGCTAGACCCCTGCCACAACCTCTGCAGGCTCTTACTACCCCTTGTCTTACCTTCTTCCTCTCGTGGAATTTTTTATTGTTTTGTTTTGTTTTCTTAATAGGCTTTATTTTTTAGAGCAGTTTTAGGTTCGCAGCAAAATTGAGCAGAAATATAGTGTTCCCATATATCCCCTGTCTTCACACAGGCACAGCCTCCCCCACTACCAACATCCTCCACCAGCATGGGATATTTGTTACAGTTGATGCACCTGCATTGACACATCACCATCACCAGTCCATAGTTGACATTAGGGCTCACTCTTGGTATTACACAAAAGCATGGCAGTTGGGCACCATGGCTCACGTCTATAATCCCAGCAATTTGGGAGGCCAAGGTGGGCAGATCGCTCGAGCTCTGGAGTTCGAGACAAGCCTGGGCAACAGGGTGAAACCCTGTCTCTACCAAAAATACAAAAAAAAATTAGCCAGGTGTGGTGATGCATGCCTGTAGTCCCAGCTACTCAGGAGGCTGAGGTGGGAGGATCTCTTGAGCCCAGGAGGTGGAGGTTTCAGTGAGCTGAGATCGCACCATGGCACTCCAGCCTGGGCGACAGTGCGAGCTTTTGTCTCAAAAATAAATAAATAAATAAAAATAAAAATAAAAGCATGGCACCTACATCTGTTTCTGATGAGGGCCTTAGGCTGCTTCCACTCATGGCAGAAGGTGAAGGGGAGCTGATATATGCAGATCACATGGTGAGACAGGAGGCAAGAAAGAGAGGAGGTGCCAGGCTCTTTGCAACAATCTTCTCATGGGAACTAAGAGTGAAAACTCCCTCATTACCACCATTCATGAGGGATCCACCTCCATGACTCAAACACCTCCCACAAGGCCCCACCTCCAACACTGGGGATCAAATTTCAACATGAGACTTGGTGGGGCCAAACAAACCACATACAAACCCTAGCACTACCATTGCAATATCAGCAATATCACACGGAACAGTTTCACTGCCCTAAAAATCTGCTTTGCTCTGCCTGTTCATCTGCCCAACCCCTGGCAACCACTGATCTTTATACTGTCTCTATAGTTTTGCCTTTCCCAGAATGTCATGTAGTTAGAATCATAGAACATGTAATCGAATTTTCAGATTGGTTTCTTTTCTTTAGTAATATGCATTGAAGTTTAATTCCATGTCTTTCTATGGCTTGATAGCTCATTTTGTTTTAGGGTTGAATAATATTCCATTATCTGGATGTACCATAGTTCATTTATTCACTCATCAGGACATCTTGGTTGCTTCCAAGTTGGAGTAATTATGAATAAAACTGCTATAAACATGTGAGTGCAGGTTTTGTGTGGATCTAAGTTTTCAACTCCTTTGGGTAAACACCAGGGAGTGTGATTATTGAATAGTATGTTAAGAGTAGGTCTGGTTTTGTAAGAAACTGTCAAACTGTCTTCCAAAGTAGCCGCATCGCTTTGCATTTCCACCAGCAATGAGTGAGAGTTCTGTTGCTTCAGATCCTCACCAGCATTTGGTGTTGTCCGTGTTCCGGATTTTGGCCATTCTAATAGGTGTATAGTGGCATCTCACTGCTGTTTTAAGTTGCATTTACCTAATGACGTATGATGTTTCACATGCTTACTTGCCATCTGTATATCTTCTTCAGTAGATGTCCATTCAAGTCTTTTGTCAGAATGGGTTTTTAAAATATAAAAAACAAAAATAGCTTTATTGGTTTTTATTTTTATCACAACAGTGATACATATTACTTTCTTAAAGTCACGTAAAAAAAAAGAAAGTTATAAAAAAAGGCTGAAAAATCCCTCTTGATTTTTCCATATCCTGTTGCAAAGTCATTTTTTTTTTCTTTTTTTTTTTAAATGGAGTCTCACCCTGTCACCCAGGCTGGAGTGCAGTGGCACCATCTAGGCTTACTGCAAGCTCCACCTCCTGGGTTCACGCCATTCTCTTGCCTCAGCTTCCTG